ATAATTACACGCTTCCAACTCAAAAAGGATTCCTTTTTCTTTTACCATACCTTTTACCAATTTAGAGGTTCTTCGAAATGACTCTGTTCTGCCTTTCTTGGTAAATATCTTTTAGTTTCTTTTTTTTTTTTTTTTGTTTTTACCCTCCGACCAAAGTTCAATTGCATTTTCATTGCGCTGGCTAAAGAACACACATGTGTGTCTCATTGAAGCGGCTTTCGCTTTCATGCTCAGCCCTCTAAATATATATCCATCCGCCAGTTTGTCGTTATATATTTATATATATACATATATCGTACGTCTAGGGTCTAGAACAAAGGAAAAGCCAAGCCACTGGCAAAGATAATAATGGCAGAAATTGTCCAGCGAAAGGCGAGAAAAGAGATACACAAACCATATGAATATGAATGCGAAATTGAGGCTCTGCGGCTTCCTGCAGTGTGTAAACTTTGGCGTGCTGCGACGACAAAGACAAAGCTCTTTCTGCATTCTACATTCAACATTCAACATTCTGTTTTCTATTTTTTATTTTTTTGTTGTACATTTTTCCTCGCGCTTTTAGCGGTCTTTGGACCTTGAGCCTCTCCGTCTGGTTGGCACAGGGCTTTGTTGTGCAAATGCTAAAAGAGGGAACAACAATTCCAAACTTGTTCTGCCCAGGATGCAGTCATAGAACCCTTTTATGCCCCTGCCCCTGATTATTATGCAGCGCCATACAACAAATAACTTTGACATTCAAAATATGCCCAAGCGGAAATCCGCGCAGGGGGAAATTATGAGCAGGAGAAAAATGTAGTAGTAACTGTAGAGGGGAAGAAGCGGGAAATGGGAACAACCAGACAGGCAGCTGTGCATTATACTCGAATGCAAATATGCCAGCACAGGCGAAATACTTATTTTCCTCTTCTGTTTTTTTATTTTTGTATTTTTCTGGAACTGAATTCAATGAATGAAACGGTTTGTTTGCTGCGCCCTGAAGATACACATACTTTCAACCCCTTTTCTGGGCCTTCACCGTTTGATTTATGTTAAGTTATGCAGATCCCATTTCGTAGCATTAAATTTCACATTTGATTTTTTGGTTAATTGCCGGCAACTACAGCCAGGCCCTGCCTGACTTTAGCTTCTTCTTGCAGTGCAACAGATGTGTATCTAGAATCTGAGATAGACGAGTCGAAAACAGCGGAAAAACTGACCCCAAAAACTGCAGTCAAATGTCAGTTTTATCTGTGGTAGGTGAAATACGTAAAAGCTATGCAAAAATACATGCGAAAAGTATCTAGAGCTGGTGAAGGAACTTTAAGATACTCTTTGAAAGGAAAAAAATATTATAGATATTTAAACAAACTTAAAGATACTTTTTAAAAGCAAAAAGATATAGATATTTAAATGAACTTTAAGATACTTTTAAAATATTTTGGAAATTTTTTGTTAGATAGGTGTTTTAAAACCATTTGTGATTTTTTCTTTTGGTAAAGTAAAGACAAAAATCTTTAAAGTATCTTAATGCATCAAGTAAATACTATAAAATATAAATATTTTTTTTAAATAATCACAATATTAACAATAATAACATTTTTAATTAACAACATTCTACTTCCATTTCTTCACACTTCCTTAATAACTAAAGACCATCTGGCATCTGTGTCTATATAGTTGCCGGATCTACCCCGATAGCCATAGGGACTAAGGGCACTCTATATAATGGCTTCTGCTAAACCCGTTACACGTCATTTCACTCAACTTCAAGCGACTGTGACGGGACTGAGAACGACCGATTTAGACACCCGGAAATTGTCGTCTTCGCTTTAGCTTCAGTCAGTCCGCCAAAGCCCCCCTAGATACCTCAACCAATATAGCCACTATATCTATATATATACCTATGTGTGTGCTGGTGATTTGTTTGCTTGCTTTTTTGCATATTTTACGCCATGCACATTGAAATACAATTTTCATATTTGTATCTATTTTACGGCTGTCTAGACACCGAGACCCGCAATAAACACCCACTGCTCTGCTCTTTTTGCAACCTCAACCCTCTATCGTATATCACCTCTCTATAACTCGAATTGCCCAATATATATATGTGTATATTTGAATTAATTTCTACATAGATACAATCGTGAAATTGCTTTTAAATTGCCAGCTATTTCGTGATTAATGTTCGACAAACCGTTCAAAATAAAAATTGTATAATTTGACAAATAGTTGTCAAGATGATTGAATTTTTCTAAATTATTTTTATGCCACTTGTCTGTCAGAGGCGAGTTAATTCTGCGCTGAATTTTGATGAGTTCTGATGTTCGAAACGCGTCGCAATTATCGGTTATCGAATGGATCAATGGATGTGCCATATTTGGTTGTCAAAAAACGCTAAAGATGTGACGAAAGTATCGTCGAAGCCATATAAGACAGTTTGTAATGGTTTATGGCAAAAGCATTGGTTTAATAGGGGGATAATTAATAAGCCGGGATTCAAGGTTGTTATGTAATTTTAAAAAGAAATATTGTTCATGAAAGTAATATTATTATTTATTATTTTTGTATTTTTTTAAAGCGGAATTGGTTCTTGGAAATTGTTGAAAATATTCTTTTAATGTTTAATATTAAATACAAAATAAGTATTCAATGAAAATATGTCATCAGCACAACAATTACTATAAATAAGCATAAATATCCCACTATAAATATTATATTAATTGAAGAAACTATATCAATTAATTAAATCTCTACCAGTTTAAATACACTCACGTGCTCATGTCTCGATATTAACTTGCAATTTAAATTCAATTAAAGCTTTTTAATTGCCATTATTATTATTTTCATTAATTAATGTTCATCCACAAAGTATTTTGCAAAGCAGTAAACTCGTTGCGCCTTTTTCCTTGTCCGGAAAAATGTCGCAGATTTATGGTTATGAGACTGAGGCTTATTTATGTATCTGCATACAAATATATTATTTAAATTTTCGGCTTGCGGGATTTTTCGTTTTAATCCGAGTGGCACTTAATCGTTTGGTATAATCAGCGAAAACCATAATGCTGCCACGACACAGGCACATCCATCAATGGTTAAAGATGCGGGCGGCTGGCAGAAGTGTATCCATCAGATACGGGGATTCAAAGTACACGGAGAGAAAGGAAATTAGGAGTAAGAAGAACATGTTGGGAAGTATTTAAACTGTCTTAGATTTTTCTTCCAGTATCTAGCGCAGCTGTGTGTTCGTATAGATCTAAGATCTTGAAGTCGTCTGAATTCTCACACTCGCCCCCAAGCTCCGGTTAAAGTTTCTCCTTCAAAATACCTACAAAAAAATGTACAAAAAATGGCGAAGAATTCACCCACACAGCAAGAAAAGAACGAAGAACACCCACTTCAGCTACATCTACGGCTCCAGCTCTTGAAGTGCAGTGAAACTCGTTTGGATGTTGCACTAGTTGCAACTAGTTTTCATTATTATTATTGCTATTTGCTGTTGTAGCCGCGCGCAGCTGGCGTATCTTTGTATCTGTATCTCGGGGCTCTGAAGAATGAGCTCAGCTTTGAGTTTGCAGTCTTTGGGTTCGTGAACTGTCAACGTTTTCTGCTTCTTTTGCGATTTCTGCTGCTGCGTTTTTGTTTTTTGTTTCCCAGCTTCAACTCTTGAGATACTCGGCTCTTTGGAGATCTTTTGCCCGTGTTTTCCTCGTTTTTCTTCTGCTCTTTAAGTGCAGCTGTCAGTCAGTCAAAGTGGCTGTGCAACTGCCTCTAAATGTCTCCACATTGTCGTCGTGGTTTCTGCTTGTTGTTGTTGTGGTGGTGGTGGTGGTTGTGCTGCAAATGAGGTCGCTTAATTGTTTTTAGAGCTCTCTCTGTCTTACCACCATGGCGTATACTTAATGGCTGGGCATATAACACATGATATATCCCTTATCCCTGATGGTTTATTAGTTCATCCTGCCTGCCTGTTGTTGTGCCTCTTGTGTAACATGATATTTTTTGCAAATGTGGCCAACCTTGCCCTTTTTTTCTCTCTTTGCTGCTTTCTTGCGGTTTGCCTTTGCTTGAAAGGCTTGCCCTTTACTCGTCGTATTTATATAGTATTTGTGCGATATATATATAGCCTCGTATCGCGTATCTTTACATAATATATGAACCGAGGAGACAATGCTTAGCCATTCAGAAGAAGCAGAAGCAGCAGCAGCCGGCAGACAACACAGAAAAATAGGGAGGTTCAGTCTAGGGTCTCCTTCAAGTATTTTTGTCAAATGTTGCGTGAAGATAGCACCGGCAATCCTTCGCGGCTGCCATAATTCAAGACCTGAACAAAAACGCTTTTGTTATTTGTAGATATCTTCTTTTTCTTATTTTGTCACAAAAGGCAACTTGAATAAAAGCTAATTGAATTCTCTAGAATAATAATTTACATGTGACAAGGACAAGTTTTAAAGAATAGGTTTAGAAGAGAGACCTTGTTCTTAGGTTTGACAAGAAACCTTAAAGAATGGATAAAGATGTTGGTTGATTTGTAAATATTTCAAACACAAAATAATCTTATTTCTGACTAGCGATGACAAATAATATTAATCGATAATATACCGATATTTGACAATTAAAATCTATCGTTTTGATATACAAATATGCAAATATGTTTAATATATCGGAAAAATGTAATAGAAGAAGAAACGATATAAAATAAATTAATATCGATAAAACCTATATTTAAATGCGATATTTTTCAATATATCAAATTTCGATAAATTAAACTTTTTCATTTTTGAGTATAATATTTTGCTTTTCGACTTTTTCTTTCGATATATCTATATTTAAACTTTGAACTGAAAGGTTTTTTTGTTATTAATTCAGTTTGAGCTTTAACATTCATCCTATACTTCCTAAGTAACCCATATAATGTGTTTTTATATATATTAAAATTTTCTTAATTTTTTCTATTATTATATACATATATTTTTCTGGTTCCTTCAAGTAATCTAACATTTTCTTTCTTCTTTTTCTTGCAGGTATGTGTCGTAATGCAGCCAAAAATAATGTACATGAATTATTACAATTGGTAAATATGAGCAAACAGATTTTATATCTGTGTACGTACTTATTGTGGTTATATTTGTGTGTGCGCCAGTTTTTCATGGGCCAAATGAATTTTTCAATAATTTTCTAGCTAACTCTTCTTGCCTCCCTAAGCTCCTCGAAGCCAAAATGCATTTGTTGATTTACCAAAAAACTGCCAAAATGCATTCGAGGAGGGAAATATGCTTTTATGTTGTTTATGACCAGGCTATATACTATATTATATATATATTTTTCGTTTTTGTTTGAATACTTTTGGCTCGCATTTTTATGATCGATGCCAAAAAGGGATTTTAAAGCTTTTTTCTTTTTTGTTGTTCTTTTGAATAATGTGTGGCATGTTTTGGTCTTAAATAGGATTACAAATAGCAACGATGTTTGTCTGCTGTATATCTTGAAGCTAAGTAATTGAAAAAGCTAATTTTGAGAGAAACAATAATATATTTTTAATAAAAATATGTAGAAAATAGTATGGAAAATATAGGAAATATCTACATTACCATATAAAAGTCTACATTACAAAAAACACCTGATTTTTCGTTTATTTTCCCTATTTTTCTATTTTCCAGTTGAGCATTTTAGCTTTTGTCTTAGGTCCAAAAACATTTGAACGTTGTGCTGATACTGTATCTGTATCTGTGGCATTTATGAGTTTATTTTGGCTAATACCGCCGTCTATAGATAAGATCTTTTGGTTGATTTTGGCCTGATCGAGAGGTTCCTTTACATATGAATTTATATAGAAGCCAAATGGTTCAATTATTCAAATACTCATTAACCCAAATTGTTGGAGGTACGTTTTTCCCCCCTTATATTTCCTGGGCTTTTCCACCCCAAGAACCGAAAATTTACTCTATGCCGTGCCATGTGCGCATCTAAAATGCTTTTATTGATTCACTGGGCTTTGTCTATATAAATCAGGGTTCCATATAACACACATGTGTGTGTGAGCATTATATGGATTTTCTTTTTGGGGGCATTGGTGTTTGTGATTATACGCCGTATATGCATTAATTTCCATACGATACAATGAATCCTATTCCAGTATTTTTTGCTTTTTTTCCTTTTGATTTTTCACAGTCGTTTTTGTTTTGATATTTTAGCGATTTCTCTTTGACGTCAATTGCTGAATGGATTTTGAGGCTGTATAATTCGTTTGTTATGGGTTTTCGTTTGGGTTTATTGATTGGCAAGAGAGAGAGAGAGGGGCCAAGGAATGCATTGTTGATGCGATAAAATGAGGTTTATACTGGAGAGGTATTTAATCCAAAACTAAGGGAAATGTTTTAATATTATAAGGTTTTATTTTGGTATATAATTAAGGTGTTAAATAATTTGTATTTTTCATTCTAAAAATTCTTCTTACAAAATTTTGATTATAAGTCTAAAGAATATGAAAGATTTTTTTAATGTAATTCTTATTTATATCTCTTTATAAAAAAGGCCATCACGTTATCCTAAAGATATTCCTTCATTTAATAGGTATCTTTACCTGCGACTTGACCTTCCTCATATAATTTTTTTTGACTCACTCTTAATCATAATTCGCACCCTGCCACCACATATGGCAGAAATCGAAAAAAAGTCTCATGTGCTCCCTCCAGTTTATCATCACTCTTGGTTACTATATATTTTAGGCCTTCTACATATTTTCTAGGCCTTTTAGCTGTTATCTCTCACTCTGCCTGCCATTGTTCCTGTCTAATTGCTGAGTTAACTTATCTTGACTTGGCCCGTAAATTGTCTGCCCACAGTGAACAATATACCAAATACGAAATACGAAATAAGTACAATGTGTGTGCTATGTGTGCCATTCTGATAAAAAAGAAAAAAATCTAGTCACGATAAGCGTTCTTTGATAGCAACCGAGTATTATGACTAAGTGATACGTTTCACTGCCTGATAAACAATATTATTTCTGTCTCTTTCTAGGGCACTTTTTGGGATTTTTGTTATTGTTGTGTATTTAATTCACCACAGGTGTTGAGTGGGCCGAATGTGAGCCGATTGTCGTTGAGAGCTTAAGTTTTATCTTATCTGGGCTGTGGGGACCACAACAAAAGCATTCCAAATTGAACCATTTTTCTCCCCTTTGCTATCTGAAACTACTTACTTACTCCCACTACTGGAAAACATGTGCACATTTTGATAGATTACGACGTTAACGCGTTCGTTTTTTTTTTGTCGTGACTTACATAAAAAAATACAGTGCATACAGTACATTGCAAAAGGGGTAAGAGAATTGTTTAAGAAAATTATAATAAAAAATATAAATGGTTTATAAAGGCAAGTTAGTGATGAAAAGTGATCTATAATCTTACAAAAAGTCAGAGCGATCTCCTCTTCCTTTTCACTTTAAAATTCCCAAGTGCAAATTCAGCGACAAATTCCTTTAGCTTCTTCGCTTTTAACTACAACTTTTCACAAGATTCTGCGTGTTTCCGACCGAAAAATATCAACCAGCTATATAAAATAAATAAAAACTATAATTATACAAACGAAAGATTTTAGAAAAAATTGTAACAGATTTCCTTAGTTCTAGAGAAAATATCCAACCTATTTTTAATTCTAACTAAAATCTCCTCACTGTACTAACCCACCCACATTGCCTTAAATGACTGAAACGTACTTTATATTAGAGCTCGTAAAAGCCTACGTGTATATTTTTGGTCCGCATATACATACATTATAGTTGATGAATAAATGCGTTTCCCCTGCGGCGATTAGATAAGGCAAAAGGCTGATAAGAAAAATTGGACATGTGAGTAACGTTGCCTCATACGAAAGTCCAGAAAAAATAACGGGGGGAAATAGGGGAAAGCACTGCGGAATGTTTGCAAAGGCAAATATTTAAATGCTGCGCAATGGAAAAAAAGAAACAAGAAAATTAAGAATCTTTTACAAAATAAATACAAAAAACCCCTTCCAAGTTAGTCAGAGTGAAGTAATAATATTATATCACGACCACTCGTTAAGTTTGTCTCGCAAATTTTGTAGTTTATTGGCTGTTGTGTTCAGCTATTGATAAGCTCTGGAGGAAACTTTGTCAAGGTTGTTCGGTGACCTTCAAGCGTGGACTGATTAGTAAAAAAAAATTAACCGAGTTTAGGAATGCCATATACTGTTAAATTAGAATTTATTTAAAAGTATAAATAAAACAAAAGGCTTGGAAATTAACAGGTGTTTCAAGTGAATTGGAACTAAGCTACTCTTTATTTGTAATTAATTTTTGTAAGTCTTTCATTTTGGTTTTAAAATAAAGTATCTTCTAGTCGAGGAATCTTCTAGTCGAAGTATCTTCTAGTCGAGGTATCTTCTAGTCGAAGTATCTTCTTGTCGAAGTATCTTCTAGTTCCAAGTGAAAGCAAACTTAACCCCTGAGATATTCTTCTAGTGATTGTCTCAATTAATCTTTTAAGCTTTGGGGGATTTTTACATTTAGTTTTTTTTTTCTGTTTCTTTTGCTTCTTTGTTTGTCCATTCTATTTCGGGTTCTGTCTTAGTTTATTTGTTTATTTTTATTTATCTCTCTTTTTTTTGGGGGGTTCTGAGTCGTGCCTAGCACCGGATTTTGTATTGTTAATTTGCTGCCCAGCGAAATTATAAATGTAAATAAATAATTTCACAAATTTGAATATAATTTGCCATTAAATATGGCAAATAAATTTAGTTTAGAGCTTTAATTAGTTAAAGGGAAATATAATACAATACAAGAGCTAAAAGAACATTTTTTTTCTTAGCAGAATTTTTCCTTTTTGGCGCTTTTCCTTTTCTGGACTTTGGCTGCTTGCTGCTCATAAAAGGCTCAATCAGCATGGCAAACAGCCCATATATACAAATCATAATGGCCATATATAAATATATATATATAAACTATATAAGCCTCTGTCTCTCTGTTGGCGATGAACAAACACATGACAAAGCAAATGCTGAACGCTTTTGAGCCGAGTTCTTTGGTTATGCTAACCATACAAAGCCGTGCATATATATATTCCCATTTATATATATATTTCTACAGATTTATATATATATTTGTATATATATATTTGGAGGAGCCACAAAAGACCAAGGCAAACACACAAGCGGAAAGAATGACAGAAGAACAGACAGAGGAAATCTCCATATAAACAGCAGACCCCCACAGTATATACCATATATTGTATGTATATATCTCCAGCCAGCTCTGTGCCTACAATAACAACAATAACAAATGTACCTGTTGTGCGTTGAGAAAAAGCAAAAGAAACACACAGACAGAAAAAAAAGAAATATAAAGAAACGACGGAGCAGCGAGCTAAAATGTTATTCAAGTTACCTTTGAGTCTCGAAACCGGTTGGCGGCTCACTCGTAGCAGCACGTAGGTGCTGCCAACTCACTGTGCGATGAACAAGAAAAATAAAAGAGAAAAAATAATAATACTGCAGAAAAAAAAATATAATAAAAAAAAATTAAAACAAAATGCGTTCATATGTCTGGCCGAAAGGCGATGGGTTCAGGTTAATTAAAAAAAAGCATATTAGGCGTGCAAAAAAGTTAGAATTAAATATTTTAAGCTTATGAAATGTTTGGAGGGTTATGATAAAAGGTTTTACTTAGTTTTCAGGGTTTGTTTTAATACAAAATGAGCTAGAAATGAGTCAGATTTTTATATAAACACAAAATAATTAGTTTACAAAACAAAAACAAAAATATATTAGGCACTTTTTTTTTATTATATATTTATCTAAGAATTATTGTGGGGCATCTTTGTCATTTAAAAACAAAATTTTAAGCTATTAAAAACTGCACCTTTAGAGACAATTGTGTATAAAATAACAATTATATTTGAATTATAAAATGTCTATACATATTTAATAGAGCGTTATTTGGTCTTTTTAATTACAGGAAATTGTTCTAAAATTATTATAAATTATTTCATATATTACAACTTGCTAAAATTGTGTGATTATCGCAATTAATTTTACGTTTTTGTACTTGCACTTTTTAATAAATAAATAATTTTTAAATATATAAATATATTTCAATAGTGGCAGCTTCCCAAATTTATGTCATTATACCCTTGCAGGGTATTATAATTTCAGTCAGAAGTTTGCAACGCAGTGAAGGAGACGTTTCCGACCCTATAAAGTATATATATTATTGATCAGCATCACCAGCCGAGTCGATCTAGCCATGTCCGTCTGTCCGTCCGTCTGTCCGTCTGTCCGTCCGTCTGTCCGTCTGTCCGTTTCTACGCAAACTAGTCCCTCAGTTTTAAAGCTATCTGAATGAAACTTTACATATAGTCTTCTATATACTCTCACTGCTATATATGTCGGAACGGGCCGGATCGGACGACTATATCATATAGCTGTCATACAAATGTTCGATAAATTTTTAGAAAAAAAATTATAACTTGGATGTTTTTTAACATTTTTGCACAATTTTTAAGACATGGCCATTATATATTACTTTTGAATTTTGGTAAAAATTTTATGAAAATCGGACCACTATATCTTATAGCTGCCATAGGAACGATAGGGAAGGTAATAGAAAAAATTATAACTTCGTTCTTTTTCAACGTATTTTCATCTACTTTGAGACATGAGCTTCTGGTATTATTTCAAAATTTTGGTATAAATTTAATGAAAATCGGACGACTATATCTTATAGCTGCCATAGGAACGATAGGGAAAGTGATAGAAAAAATTATAACTTCGTTGTTTTTCAACGTATTTTCATCTACTTTGAGACATGAGCTTTTAGTATTATTTCAGAATTTTGGTAACAATATTATGAAAATCGGAGAACTATATAATATAGCTGCCATATAAGTGATCCGTAGATGTAGAGAAAATGTAAAGCTGGGAATGTATAACTGTAACTGTCAAACTGTAAACATATTAAGTATAGGTAAAATGTTATGAAACTCCGTTTAGTGTCTGTTTTCGGCATTATAATTTATAATATAAATATGAAAACCAATCTGCAAGGGTATACAAACTTCGGCGTGCCGAAGTTAGCTTCCTTTCTTGTTTAAAATAAATGATCTTAAAATGGTTAAAAAATAAAATTTTAAAAAGAAATTTAAATAGATAAAAAACCTAGCTTCTGTATCTAGTTAGATCAGATATTCCCCTTCTTAGATCTTCCCTCAAAAACTACATAGAAAACCCTTTAATCTCAACCTATTCTACATTTATGGCTATAGTTTTCATTGAACCTAAAACTTCTTTCTCCCATGATCCTCCTCATTAGTTGCACTTTGAAAAAACTAGATCTTTCAAGATGCACAAACCCCCCCCAAAAAAATTTACATTTAAACTCGATTTCTGGTTCTCCACTTAAACTATAAACACTTTAGTCTTTGGTCTCCGGAAAAAAAGAGGTATCAACTGAGTTATGTTTTTGTTTTCGCCTTGCCAGAGCGTAGCTCTTCTCGTCTGGCGATGTAAACCAGTTTAAAGCTTAAGTGGCGACATTTTATGTTGTTTGTGTTTCTCAGGCACACACACACGTACGCACTATATATGAGCCATAAGTCATTAAAGTGTGTTTTTCATGATCTTCTGGCTTAAGGAATTGTTTTCGGCATAGACTCTTTTAGTGGTTATTGTTGTTTACTGAAGGAGGTACGCTTATGTCTGTTCGTTCGTCTCAAAGAAAAAAATCGCGTAACCTTGAAATTGTTTATGATTTTTGGGCCACTCGAAAATAAAGAAGAAAAGAAGAGAAGAGGAGTCTAAATTTCCTTATCCCTGCAGACGACGACGACTTATCTTGATGGGTTTCTCTTGGTTTTATTTTTTTAATTTTTTGTTCCAAGGCTTTTCTACCTACCTTTCGAGTGGCCAGGCTGCTGCATAATTTATGCCTTTTTCCCCCCTCCTGTCTGATCCACTTAGTTGCTGATCATTGAGAGGATGTGCTGCTGGGGCCCGACCCTTTTATGGCAGATAGCCACTTGAAATGAGCCAAAAACACTTAAGAATTCCCTTCCTCTCATCAAAAATTAATTGTCTGGCTATGAGTTTTATTTTATCTTCAATAAAATTTCAAGTTTAAATGCCATATTACTTTCATTTGATTTAATTTTATGGGTTTGAGGAGGTTTTTAAAGAAATGTTGATTTTTTATTTAAGGTTGAATTTTTATTTTTTAAAGATTTTATTTATTTTTATATGAAAAAACTTGATAATTTCCTACATTTCACCAAAAATTAATTGAGTTACATTTTTTGTTTAATAAAATTTCAAGTTAAAATCGAAAATTTGATTTTTTATCAGATTGAGGAATTATTTAAATAAAATTGTCATATTTGAAGATTTTTTTGAGGCGAATATGTATATTTAAAAATGATTTTATTTATTTAAGTTGATGTTTTCTTCTAAATAAACTCTATAAAATATTTGTAATACCAAATCTTTGTCTCTGCAAAACCTTCTTGATAATTAAAATGGCTTAATTAATTTCTTCTCCTTCGAGATCTTCATTTTCAACTCATAAAAATTTACCCTTCACATATTTTTCCTTAATCAAACTTAATTGCTCAACAGAGGTTGAGAAAAGAGGGAAGGGACAAAAATAAGGATGTTTTTTGTGGGATTTCTTTGGGAGATGCGCTCCACTGCACTGAGAATGGTATTCATGATATTCCACTGGCATTTGCATAACCGGATCTCTCGTAGACACACGAGATCCAGATCCCGAGATCCAGAAACAGAAACAGAAACATAAACACAGACGGGGGCTGGATGGAGTGGGTTGCCATTAAGCATTGTCCCACTCTTTGGACAGAATTCGGATCGCGTGTTCTTGGTCTGTCATTTCTTGAGCTGGCCACCTGCTGCACTGATTGCATTTTCAAGGAGTTGGAACCGGTTACTACTCCAACGAGTAATACTGGCCACAACTGGTGACTTATTCAATTTATTTATTCTCTCTCTGTCTCTCTCCCTCTTTTGGAAGCAAAAGGTTGAGGAGTGTGTGTTGTTTTGTGTGTGCTTCCTTCATTCATTTCATTTCGCTTCTCACATAAATCTTTGCCGGGCCAAATCATTTGCCAATTCCTGTCTTGGCCAACTGTTTTACAGCAGGTTTTCTTCTGTTTTTCCCCCTCTGGCCTGATGATGGATGCTGAGGTGGCCGCTGATGAGGTCATTTTCGTTGGCAGGACCTTTTCGTTGCGTGGCTGGAATTGATGGTTCAATTTTAGGTTGAATGGAGTAAGTGTTTTTCTGTGGAATGCATTTATTTTTTTCAGAGGTTCAACTTGGACTTAATGTAGAATTCAGTTTCGTTAGGTTTAATGGTAGAGTATTTGCTTTAATTTTTATTTTGTAATGATATCTTGGAAAAAATATGTAATATTAAATATTTAATGGCACATTTCTAAAATATATAATAACACAAACATGTATCCACACGTGCTTGCCACCTAAGGCCATCGCTTCAATCCAGGAATGTTAGAACCAGTTGGGAATTATATGTTCACTTGTGAAATTTTTTTACCCCAAATTTTAGGACGAATCCGCCATGATTTTTATGAAAAATCGCCCTTAAATTAATAAAGAAACTAAACAAAGAAAAGACTACCTAATTTTAGAAAAATTAACTCTAAAATTTGGGTGGCTTGCCTTGATTTTATAGTGCCTTAAATCCATGAAAACATATATTATTAATTGTAGAAAAACTTTCTTAGTTTTAGGCCGTTTTTTTTAAGTTCAATTTTTCTTAAATATAAAAATGTATTTTTATGACCATTGTCAGGTTCATTGACTTTCGTTGATCACTGTGATCCCAGGGACTGACGGCCCGACGACAAACCCTATGCAATTTTGGATGAATTGAAATTACAGTTGCAGCAAATCGTCGCAGTAATTGCCACCTTGTATCTGCATTCAGATTCAGATCTGCATCTGTATCTGAGCGGTGGCTTTCTCCCAAGTGTATATGTAGTGGTATGTGGGATGCGGCTGCCACCACGCCCCCTTTTTTTTCCAGTATCACCTGGATAGACAAGCGTGCCACCAAAATGTGGCGGCAATGGCGGGTGCAACGCACTCCGATGTGTTGCAAATATTTTATTTGCACACTAATAACAATCACAGAGCAATAATCATCATTGTGGCATTAAAAACAAATTGTTATGACGGCGATGATGATGATGATAATGTTGCCTCTTAATGTACAGTGTTTTGAGCATTGAACTAATTGTTCGCTCAACCAAAATTTCAATAACAATCAAATGGGGAAAAAAGAAGTAAAAACGCAGAAGACTGGCTTTGATCGAAAGATAAAAACCGCGGCAAAAGCTTGGCCAGTTCTATTTGATTTTATAGAGACTGATATTAGAAACCTTAATTAATTTTTATTAATTTGTTACTAGAAAAGCTGTCGATGTTTTATGGTTATTACCACCATTAAAAGAAGCTATGAGCTTGTTAGGAATTATTTTTTTCTCTGATTAATGACGTTCACTTATAAACGTTTTAAATGTAATTGAGTTTAAAGCAGAGGGGTGAGTTTTTAATTAAGAAAAGGAAACTAGTTCTTAAATGGATTTTAAATTGAAGCAATTTCAAGGCAATGATTAAAGTTAAATTTATTTAAATTGAAGTTTTATATTATTCAAGATTTGTTTTGATTAGTTGTATGATTTTTCTAATGGAAAAACATGTTTTACTAATTATTAGAATAATTTCTTTAAACTATTTCATAATTTCTAAAATCTAACAATAAATATTTCTTCAATCAAGTTATCCTTATTTTTCCTCCTTCAACTTTATTAACTATCAATAAAAGAACCTTTTTGGAATAGTTTTTATATGCAAATTAAGAACAGCCCTTACTTTAAGCT